GTGAACTACTGCTCCCGGCCGAGAGCTCATTTTGTTTGCTAGTGGAGTTCTTGGTATCTTTTATGTTTGAGGCTTTGGTGCTAGTGCTGAAGTATTACACTCACCATCTGAGGTTTGCAGGACTTTTGTTTTGAATAGTGAACAGATGGAACTGTGTAGTTCTGTATCTTTGCAGGCAAACAAAACGTGCCTACCAGGATTCTGCTTCCTATCCATTGAAAGCAAAAAGTAATACAGTCAAACTTTGCCTGGCTTACAGGCTTTGAAAGAATGGAGTATTTTGATTTAATTCTATTAACTTGGAAGTGTGAAGGTGAAAAGAATTCAAAACTTACATTTCTGGTTGAATGCAATTTGAAAATACAGCCAATCATTCCCCTTTTCTTCTGAGTAAGTTTGGACATTCCAATCTACTTGGCGTTTTATTGTAGAACTGCTAGTGTGCCTGAGACTTACATTGTGAAGATAAGTTTTTAAAACGTGATAGGTAAGAGAATATAAATGGTATTGTATGAGATCAGGCTGGATGAGTACTGACACTTATAAATATACTTTTTAGAGTGAATCTCTGATTGCCACTTGTTTTCTTATTAACTCATAAAAATAGAACACTTCGGATGGAGGGTGGGAGTAGGAAGGAGACTTATGTGTTTTAATTGCATGTCATGGTTTCATATCAAGACAGAACATATGGTATCCCTGGCTTTGGACCTACAGAAGAAAACACATTTTTCTACCTACTGTATGCCAGACGTTCTTGAACATCTGGAGGGATTACTACAGCATAGATTGCTGAGCCCTACTCCAGAGTTTCTGATTCACCAGGTCCAGGGTGGAGCCTGAGAATTTGCACTCATAAAAAGTTCTCAGGTTCTGCTGGTGCTGCTAGTCCAGAGACTACATTTTTGAGAACCACTCTTGTCTACTAACTGTAAATTGTAGAACTCTAGAAAAAAGCTTAGTTTGGTGTGGGAAAAGAAGCTCATAGGTTATGGAGCAAATCGTGAAAGATTCAACCCTTGATCTCAGCCTAGTGTGGAATTCAGGTAACAAGCAATACACAGTGACATAACACAGTTCTTGGTTTTCATGATTGCAAGTCACAGCCAAGTATCAAGTGAGAAATTCAGTTTCATTTGCAAGGCTTAGAGAGGTCAGGTGATTGTAGAAAAATAGACCTTGTATATACTTTAAACCAGAAAGAATTTTGAGTGCTGATTAAGTTGAAAGCTTTGTGTTTTTATTTACTTTTGACTCTTTTATTTTATTTTATTTTATTTTTGAGATGGAGTCTTACTCTGTCGCCCAGGCTGGAGTGCAGTGGCATGAGCTTGGCTCACTGCAACTTCCACCTCCCGGTTTCAAGTTATTCTCCTGCCTCAGCCTCCTGAGTAGCTGGGATTACAGGTACCCACCACCACACCTGGCTAGCTTTTGTATTTTTAGTAGAGATGGGGTTTCACCATGTTGGCCAGGCTGATCTTGAACTCCTGACCTAAGGTGATCCACCCGCCTAGGCCTCCCAAAATGTTGGAATGACAGGTGTGAGCCACCGCACCCAGCCCAAAAGCTTTGTGTTTTTAAAGATATTAGACATGTTTCTTGTTTTTTGAAAAAATCTTAATAATGTAGGAGAATAAAAGAAATGTTTTTCCAAAAAAGAGAAATCATTGTGATTATTTTACCTTATTGGAATATTGGATAATATAGCCCACTTCATTAATCATCAAACATGCTATGGATTTTCCATTTTTATAGGATTTGTCTCAATTGAGGTAATACTGGTAATTCTTGTACTCCATCTGAAGATGAAAAATGTAGGCCAAAATCATAGACCAGGCATAGAAGCTGGATAATGAAGAGAGCTGTGGAGGAACATGTAGACACACACACACACACTGACACACATATATTTAGAGTATAAACACATATACTTTTTAAAGTTTATTTGGAACGTTTTAAAGCAAAAGCCAGCCACCCCCCGTCCTCCCAGAGTAGGCAGGCCCCGCCCCTCTCCCCAAGTGGGCGGGGACAGCAGTTGCATGGGCAGCTTTCCTTGTGATGCCACAGGTTCCTCTGGCCTCACTGCTGCTTGGCCACGCCTCCTTTCCCTTTCATCTTTCTCATTGACCAATGGGCTTGGAGAATTAAGGCCACGCCCCCATTCTGCATTCTAGTGGGGCCCTGGTTACGCCTCCTCTGGCTCAGTCACACAGCCGCCTGGTAGGTGACTGGAGGTGTTCGCTGATGTGGCCCCAACCCTGCCTCCCTCCCCACCCCGTGATGTTAGAAGAGACTCAACGGAGTCAATTGGCAGCAGCCAAGAAAAAGGTAAGACACAACAGGTCATGGCCCCCCAACCTAGCCAGAGATCCCCTCCGATGACAAGACCACTGCCAGAGTACATACCACTCCTGAGGCACACTGGGCTGGGCCCCCTAACCCTGGCACCTCTGGTCTCCCCCCACCAAAGTCTTATCAGTCAGCCCTGACCCCTCAGCAAGCAGCCCAGCCTCTGCCCTCGCCAGTCGCCCCATGGTGACTTTTGGTAGGTGACTGCTGGGGCTCCCTGCTCCATACTTGCCCCTCACATCCTGCTGCCCCAAGCCCAACCTCCCTGGGTTCTTTGGGCTCAGCTGTCCGAGGACCTGGGTCCCCCAGCCCCAGTCCCCCACCACCGCCAGTCATCCTTGGGTGATTTTGGGCTGCTGACTCCTGGGGTTTCCTGCTGCAGACTGTACTCTCCCCTCCTGCTGACCCAAGCCTGACCTCCCTGGGCTCTTTGGACTGGCATCTCCAAGGACCTGGGCACCAGTCCTACGTCCCACTCCCCCATCATGGATCAGCAACTCAGCCATTGTACTGATGTGGTTCCCCCCACCCCCAGGAGGAGTGGAATGTAGTGATGTCACAATTCCCCTAGGAACTGTCATTACTGCTTCAAGACTGGCCTATGATCTTACAACCCAGTCCCCTAAGCATTCTCGCCCCATTTCTGGTTCCTCTGGCCACAGCACAAATTTCCAGCTGGAAGGGGAATGGGGACTATGGGACTTAGGAGCAACAGGTTTCAGGTTGCCTTACTCCCTTCGCATAGACATTGATTTTGTGAAAAGCCTACACTTCCCCTGTGAGCTCAAACGTTGACAGTATCTCTGGGTGGCAATGGGAGAATGGGTTTGGTTTGGTTTTCTCCCAGCCTTCTACTCTCCAGAGAGACTTTAACATATTTTTCTGAGTTCTCCACCTCATATTCTAATTCTCCACAGTTCTGGGACCAGACTGCCCTTCAGTCAGTGGTCTCTGAAGTGAGATTTGCTTATCTTCTGTGGAATAGATCTTGGGAAACTGAACTTGACAGCTTGAATCTTCCTCATATTATCTCAACTTGGGGTACTTTGAGTGCCACAGGATAAATGTGGGAGATCTTTCTGAAGCATCAGTTTCCCTTGATTCTCTTGAGAGAGAAAAAACGTTAATGTACTTAGGGATGACAGTCACATACGTTTCTAAGAGTATACCAGACTTCTCTCTGAAATGAGCCTTGGGTTGTCCTTTTTCTGATAAAGTCCCAGATTTAACAAAAAAGCTGCCTTCTGCCATGAGGACACATGGATATAAAAGTTTGAGAGGTCCTGGTGCACTTCTTCACACTTACAGACGTGTGAGGATATATGACTCCAAACCACACAGTGTGCAGTTCCTGCCTACTTAATGTTTAGTTTTCTACTTCTGGCTCTGATTTTGGTCTCTGGCAGCTGCTGATTCGTGGCAAAACCCCAGAGCTTGGAGTCAGAAGACTGAGTTTAAGTTCCATTATTGCCCACCTTCCCTTTTTTTCAGCCATAATATCCATCCCTCTCAATCAGTAAGTGATTGTGAAAACACCTTGTACAGTTGTTGGTGGCATTAAGTCAGATGGTGTATAAGAGTATTTTGAAAAACTGTAAAGGGGGATGTGGCTGTAGGGACTGGTAGTTCTCATGAGTATTACTGCTCTTCTTTCCCACAGCTAAAAGAATATCAGCAGAGGAACAGCCCTGGTGTTCCGCCAGGAGCGAAGACAAAAAAGAAGAAAACTGGCAGTAGCCCTGAGACAACCACTTCTGGTGGTTGCCACTCACCTGGGGCTGTGAGTCTTGGCTGGCCAGGCTCCTGGGGACAGAAGGCCCAAGGGGGCGGTAGAGGGTAATTGTTAAGATTGCTGGGTACTGGTTAAGAATTCTGGGTTTGAATCCTGCCTCTCCATTGGCTAGGGATCTGATTTATGGCAAGTTGCTTGAGTTCTTTGGGCCTCTCTTTTCACATCTATAAAATAGGGGTAGTGTTGTTTGATTTTCATTTCTGAAGTTCAAATGATATTCCATATTGTAGTTGTTTTTATGTTAATCCCTAGTACATGTCCTGCTGTGAACACCCAGGATACCCAGGAAATGGTCATTGCTGTTTGATTTTCCTGATCCCCAGTCTCACGGGGGAGCTGGGCCAATGAGTACAGCCACTTGCTATCAAGCTGTCCCTTTAGGAGTCACAGAAGGGGGCTCAGGGTGTGGTGAGGAGAGCCCCAGGCACTAGG